CTGCCGACACATCAGCCCGTGCAGCCGCAGGAACAGCAACCTGCCGCATGGAAATTGATTCGGCTCGAATCATCGTCACGGCCTCTCACTCGACCTCCACGGGCTCTCCTGACTACGTGGGACATACGCCTCCGCCGCTACACGTCTTCAAGGTACACGGTCCCGCCGCTCCTGTCTCCGTTACCGCGATCTCCCGGAGACCTCCGCCACCAGGGGACGCAGACCGTACCACCGACACGGGTCCACAGGGGACTAGAAGTACGGCCCTCGATTAGCTGCATAGAGACGCAGACGGACAGCGAGTGGGAGGCGCCCACCGAGGAAAAGGGAACTCAGGCGTGCGCCCCGAGCCTTGAGGACCAGGCCACGCAGACGGAGAATCCGGACTTAGCCGAGCCGGGGACTTACACACCGCCCGGCACACCGCCGGCGTGGAGGAAGCCCGGAGCGTGGGGAGATCGACAGCCACTCCACCGTACCAAGACGCAGCCGTGCCTGGTCTGGAGTGAACGCCTGCCAGCCTCCTAAGGAGAAACCAACCGGCCCTTTTCAGGGCCACATAACACAAACGGCCCTTCTCAGGGCCCCCAAATATCTCTAACAAACATCGCCATTTCGCACGAATTTTGGCCTACCGCCATAACTGGTGACCCCGACGAAAAAACAACAAGATGGCGACATCAAAGGAGCAAACGGAAGGGGACAGAACCCACCAAGTCAAGGAGGAGCTCCAGACAAACCGCGTAGGATTAAGAATGCCACCATTCTGGCCAGAAGAGCCGGAGCTGTGGTTCGCACAACTGGAGAGCCAGTTTATCATATGCGGAATCACGCAGGACACAACGCGGTACGCCTACGCGCTATCGCAGATAGATACCAGATATGCCAAGGAAATAAAAGACATCGTCACGTCTCCACCAGCGGAACATAGATACAAGACGCTGAAGAAGACGCTCATACAGCGCCTATCTACATCCCAGGAGCAACGAACGAGACAACTACTAGAGCGCGAAGAACTCGGCGACAGGAAGCCATCGCAATTCTTGCGCCACCTAAAAGGACTAGCGGGCACCGCAGTGCCAGATAGCCTACTCCGAACACTGTGGTTAGGGAGATTACCAGCTCAGATGCAGGTCGTCTTGGCAACTCGTCAAGGAGATCGATTGGAAGACGTCGCAGAACAAGCCGACCGCATACACGAGGTCAACAACCGCGCAGTCGTCGCAGCAGTAGAGGCAACCTCCACAGAAAAAACGACGCTACAAGCACAAATCGAGGCGCTAACAAAACAGGTGGCAGCGCTAACAACACAGTTCTCGCAGGAGAGGAAACGATGGAGAGCGGACCGATCCCGCAGCCGCAGCCGCAACCGCAGCCGCAACCGTGGCCACACTAAGGGTTTCACGGCGGAACACTGTTACTATCACCGTACCTTCAAAGATAAAGCACGAAATTGCGAGGAACCGTGCACCTACAAGGCGATCAAACCGGCCAAGCCGGAAAACACGGAGGGCAGTTGCTGATGGCGGCCAACAACGATAGCCCACGACCACGCCGCCTTTTCCTGACGGACAAAAAGACAAAGACGCGATACCTGATAGACACCGGGTCGGATATAAGCGTCTACCCACACCAGCGAGGAAGAAGGAATCAAAAGGAAAAATACGAACTCTACGCAGCCAACGGATCCGCAATAGCAACCTATGGGAGCACGAACCTCCAGCCCGATTTCGGACTTAGACGAGATTTTCCATGGAGATTCATCATAGCGGACGTCACGACGCCGATCATAGGCTCCGATTTCCTGGCATACTACCACCTATTACCAGACGTCAGAAGAGGATGCCTGGTCGACGGGCAGACAGGCCTGCGAGCAAAAGGGCGCACCCAAGAGCAGCACACTTCTTCAATAAAAGCAATCAACGAGGAGTCGCCCTACCACCACATATTAAAAGAGTTTCCCGACATCACACGACAATCGGGAACAGCGAAGTGCTCGCACAATACCGTGCATTACATAAACACCACGCCAGGCCCGCCGGAGGCCTGCCGACCGAGACGCCTGGCACCAGACAAGTTGAAAGCAGCAAAATAGAGTTCGAACTACTACTACGAGAAGGAATAATCCGGCCTTCAAAGAGCCCATGGGCATCACCACTACATATGGTCCCCAAGAAAGCGGACCAATGGAAAACGTGCGGAGACTACCGCCCTGTAAATAGGCGAACCAAGCCGGACATGTATCCAATTTCACACATCGAGGACTTCTCACACTCGCTACATGGAAAAACCATCTTCTCAACAATAGATTTGGTCAGAGCATACAACCAGATCCCAGTCAACCCAGAAGACATACCGAAGACGGCCATAATCACACCATTCGGCCTATTCGAATACGTTTACATGCCATTCGGCCTGAGAAACGCCGCACAGACATTTCAACGATTCATCAACGAGGTACTAAGAGGGCTAGACTTTTGCTACGCCTACATCGACGATATTTTAATAGCTTCCGCCAACGAAGAAGAACACAAACGCCACCTGAGAGAGGTATTCCGGCGCCTACAGCAGTACGGAATACGATTAAACCCAGCCAAGTGCATTTTCGGGATGCCAGAGGTAAAATTCCTGGGATACCTCGTCTCAGGAAGCGGAACACGACCGCTACCAGAAAAGGTAGAAGCGATACAGAGCTTCCGGAAGCCGGAGACTATAAAACAACTCCGACGATTCCTCGGCACAATCAACTTCTATCGCCGTTTTGTACCAGGCGCAGCAAGAGAGCAGGCAATATTAAACGACATACTTGCCGGGAAACAGAAGAAAGGGAAAGCACCGGTTGAGTGGACACCCGAATTAGTAGCCGCTTTCGAGCATTGTAAGAAGAGCCTTACCCTAGCGACGCTTCTTGCCCATCCACAACCTGAGGCCCCGCTAACGATGACAACGGACGCCTCGGATACCGCCATAGGAACGGTGATACATCAGCTAGTGGAAGGACAAGCACAGCCACTAGCGTTCTTCAGCAAAAAGTTGTCCAAAGCACAACAGAAATACAGCCCATACGACAGAGAACTACTGGCAATATACGCAGCGATAAAACACTTTCAACACATGGTGGAAGGAAGACACTTCATCGTATACACAGACCACAAACCACTGGTATACGCAATGATGCAAAACCCGCTGAAGAGCTCACCAAGGCAAGCTCGACATCTCGAGTTTATAAGCCAATTCACGACAGACATCCGGCATATCAAAGGCACCGACAACGTGGTAGCTGATGCCATGTCTCGAGTAGAAAGCATAGCAACAACAATAGATTGCGAGGAAATAGCGAGAGCTCAAAGCGAGGACGAGGAACTCAACACCTTACGAACAGATGGCACGTCAGCATTAAAACTAACGCAAATCAATATTCCGGGAACAACAACGAAGCTGTACTGCGACACCACACACGGCACACAGAGACCGTTCGTTCCAGAGCCATACCGCAAGCAGGTTTTCCAAAGCCTACACGGATTATCACACCCCGGAATCAAAGCAACCACGAGGCTGGTCACAGAACGATTCGTTTGGCCAGGAGTCAATAAAGACTGCCAAAATTGGACACGAGCATGCCTCCAGTGCCAACGCTCCAAGATCGGGAGACACAACCGTCCCTCCATCGGGACATTCCTCCAACCGACTCGGAGATTCCAACACATCCACTTAGACCTAGTAGGGCCACTACCAACGTCGAAAGGCTACAGGTACTGTCTAACAATCATAGACAGATTCACACGCTGGCCCGAGGCAATCCCAGTAGAGGACATCACAGCAGAGACCATCGCGAAACAACTCTTCACCCAATGGATGGCCCGCTACGGGATCCCAGAGAGAATCACCACCGACCAAGGACGCCAGTTCGAGTCAGACATGTTCCGGCGCCTAATAAAGTTGACGGGAGTCAAGCACTGGAGGACCACAGCCTATCACCCACAAGCCAACGGGATGGTGGAGAGATTTCACCGACAGCTAAAAGCAGCCATCAGATGCCATGAGACCGATGAATGAACCGAAGCCTTGCCGATAATACTCATGGGCATCAGAGCGGCAATTAAGGAAGACATCAAAGCAACCCCAGCAGAAATGGTGTACGGAGAACCAATCCACTTACCTGGAGAATTCTTCGGCACAACCAAAAACGAAACAAACGAGACGGACTTCATCGGCCGTTTACGCAACCTCATGAGTCGTCTAACACCCAAACTAAAGCGGCATGGCAAGAAAGACGTGTTCATACACCAAGATCTGGAAAAGACACCCTACGTTTTTGTCAGACAAGACGCGCCAACAGGCGCACTCCACCCCCGCTATAATGGACCATACGAAGTCATCAAGCGGACAGAGCGATTTTTTACCATTCAGACGGGAGGCAAACCTACGAACGTCTCAGTAGAACGTCTCAAACCGGCGTACACCTTCATAGAAAACGAAACGCCCTCAGCTACGGAGAACGGACAGAGGACCAAACAGGCAACTGAGCCCACACCAACAGCAATTACACGAAATAGCAGAACTCGAAAACCAGTCGTCCGTTTCCAGGCGGGAGTTTAAATACAACGAAGGGGGTCCTGTGGCGGCTGCAAGCGCACCGAATCTGGTGGCGCAACCGCCACAACACAAGCGCGCCCCGCGCCTGCCAGACGGCAGCCCGTCATACACACCCCGGCCGGCGAGAGCACCGGCGGCACGGCGAACGGCCGCACGCAACGAGCACGTGCAATCAGCAAGCCGTCGAAGATAATAACAAATATGCTCCGCTAGGCGGCTGCCCTTTCTCGTAAGAGAAATTCAGCGACCAGGATATAAAAGGACCGGCAAGCGCCGATACCTTCGACTATCCTCGCACAGCTATACGAGACAGTATCAGCCACGAGAAGGAAGTCTTTTTTTTGATAACGCTGCGCAAGTACAATCGTACCAGGCCGCCAACTTCCCGCTCATCGCTGCCGACACATCAGCCCGTGCAGCCGCAGGAACAGCAACCTGCCGC